TGACACACAAGCCTTTATAAAATTTTCACCTGTAACACTATGAAGCAAAGTATGTATGATATTTTCTATAAAGACATCTTAAGATAATAGGTTGAGTAGGACTAAAAAAGAAGTGATAGCCATTGTTAATGTTACATTGTGTAGAGTTGAAGTTAGTTAGAAGGACTTTGAAGCTTTTACAGTTTTTGTTTGAAGTAACTAAAGTTCAGCTACTATATTTGTTTGAAAAATATCTAGGTCAAAGAAGTCTGGTTCAATAATAGTAATACTAGGCATATTGTGTAACTATTCTAGTGTGATGTTTATATTAGTGAAAAACAATTTTCAAATTAGTTTGAAGAATTTAATTTTTTGAATAAAATTTTCTAATTTGAAGATTTTACAGATAAGTTAAAAAGGATCTGAGAAATGTAAAGCTAATAGAAAGACTAATTGAATATTTAGGAAATTTTAATAGATGCTAAAAAAATGAATTTTTTGGAGCAGCCTAATGAATTTTTCTAAATTAACCAGTAAAATAACCTGCAAAAACAGATTTTAGTTTTGCCTTTTTTCTAGTATCTCAGTGAGTTTTGGTTTGTTTGCTATTAAATATATATCAAAATAACCAGAATAAAGTGCTTGTTATTTTCTAATAGGTAACAAGATATAATTAATTAGTAAAATATTGAGCAAATAAGCAAAACTAAAATGTTGATTATTGCAACTTTTCTCAATAGCCAAGTGTTGCAGGAGCTTAAAACTTGGCCGCCTAGGAGAAGAAAAGTGTGCTGAACAACTTTACTTAGAGGTGCAAGTAAGGTTTACTTAGTAGAATATTGAGAAATAATTAAATATTTTTAGCAAAAATTTGGTACAAATGATTTATAAAGAGAGTTACATTATTGGTTTATTACTTTTTTATTTAGATTTTTTAAATAAGTTTTTGTTTTTTTAATTTTACAAATTTATATAGTTACAAGAACTTATCTTGAATCTGTATTATTTAATATTAATTTGTATTTTTTTATATAATTAAAATTATATAGATGTTCTCTCTTATATTATTACTCAAACCCAAATCTAGGTGAGCCTTGGCCACTCTTGTAGGTTTAGGTCACAGATTATATGTCTAAGTCTTTATTCTTCATATGTAATTTAAAAGCAATCTTTTCTTTGTAAAAACTTCATTTGAATTTCAATAAAGTTAAAGACATGGCCTCATTGTTAATATTTAAAAAAAAAAAGATTATATAGATGTTTTGACCTATTCATTATATATATATATTTTTTTTTGCTTATGCTAAGACCATAGTTATTAGCAACTATTGCCTTTATTGTATTTTAATTATAATTATATAACTTGTACAAGGTAAGTATACAACTAGTCATATATATAACTTTTGGTTATTTATTTTAAGTAGTCTGCTTGCACAACAAGTTCTATACTAGCTATTATATCTGCAATCTACTAGGAAATTATCTATTTAAACACTCTAATTCTTATACTTATATTGACAAATAATGTATAAGTTTCCATACATCTAAGTGTCATCTAATCTAACTATAACCTCTCTGTCTATATATCTGTCAAGCTGTTACACATTTCAGGATATATCACCTGACTGTAGAGCTCTAGAAGGCCCTTCTGCTAACTAACTATTCATATTTAGTTTTTTGTTAATAGAACTCACTCTTGCAGAGTTCACTCAGACCCTAGCATCAACTTCATAGCATATCTTTAGTACTTATAGTATACTTCTGCTTCTGATCTCAAATTCCCAATCCAGATAGTCTGATAGGACTATGACCTGTTCCTGGTATCTTAGTATCTGCCTTCAAGGTCCTTTTCTCTGATTTGAGATTTCTGACAGTCTGGTTAGTAGTACCTCTTATCCAAGGTTCTTGCTTGCTCAATTCCTTCCACATTGGTATTTGTTTCCTAGATCTAGCTTTTACAGTAGTATTGTTAAAGATTTGTACTACTTCTCTACTTGGGTCTTCTTAAGTGGGCTCTGGTTTTCCAGTTTACAGATTTACATGGCTATGAGAACTTATCTTGGGTTTGCACTGCCTAATGCCAGTTTGCATTTCTCTGTATATCTTTAATATTGCACTGATGCTTTATAATCTGCTAGTCATTTGATGCAATTATGTTACAGATATTGATTCCAACTAATTGATAAATGCTATTGTCATAATACTGCTTACCTTCTGTAATACTGATATAATATAAGTAGTTTTTTAAATTTTTGCTGTTGGTGGGTTTTGAACTCCTAACCTACCACTTGGAAGGTTAACAACTTATTTATTTTACTAAGTCATCACACTTATTAGTTATATTAGTATAACTATAATTACAAATATTTTTGTCTTAACTAATTAACAGAAAATTATTGTTATAATATAAGTAATTATTTAAATTTTTATTATCAGTAGGTTTTAAATTTTTAATTTGCTAATTAAAAAGGTAACAACTTATTTATTTTACAAATTACTATACATTTATCAGATTTTTAATTAATTTAATACCAATATCTAGTACTATATACTACTATATTATAAATAAGTATTATTATAATATTTATTATATAATAATATAAAAAAATGTATAATGAATTTCTATAAAAATAATTTTTATATAATCTTAAAACAAAATTACTTAAAACATCAAAATATAATTTATTAATAAAAATTTAAAACTCTATAATTTTTATAAATTTATAATAAATTATATAAATTGTTATAATTTTTAAAAAAAATTTTATTATAAAATGTTAATTCTAGTATAACAATTTAATTATTGTCCTTTAAATAGTAGGTCCAAAGTTCAAATCTTATCAGTACCAACATTTTGAAAAATAGTTCTATTTTAGTAACTTGGATAAGATATCTGAGATTGTAATTTTGAAATTCTAATTATACCAAAACTAACTTTGGAAATGTACAATATTATATAAATAAATCCAGAAAATATATATATCAGAAAATTTTTTAAAAAGATATAAATCAATATATAGCAATAAATTAATATATATTAATTAAAAACTATCGATATATATCAATTAGTTTATTATATACTAATATATATTGATTAATTTATTATATACTAATATATATCATTATTTGATAAATATTGAACTATAATACATTTTGTTATATATCAGATGATCAATTATTATCGATCAGTTTAAATTGATCTGTAATAATTAAAGCAAATAGCATATATATAATAAATATAATATATATTTAATATATATGCAATGCAAGTATATATTAAAACATAAAACTGTTTACTAAATATTCATTTATTTTATCAAATTTTAGAACTATATAAACAGTTTTATTTATACTTTTTATAAGAATACAACTATAATGTTTAACTGATCTTAATTTAAAGCATCTTCACAATTTGTTCTCTTCTTCATACTACTAAACAAAAGTGAATTCAAATGGTTCTCTGTCTGCCATGTGGTAAAATTTAAGTATTGGCAATATTCTATAATCGATAATTATTATTTAGCATATTATTACTCATGAAGTTAGATAATAAGATATTTTCTAACTTCATAATTAGTTTTATTTTTATTATTATTATGTTATTTTATATATATTAATGCAATATATTATTAGTATAATATACTTATCAAATAAAATTATAATTAATTCTTACTAAACTATACTAGTTCATATCATCTTCAGCACTAATAATAACATTAAAAAACATTGGTTTGTTATAATAACTTGAGGATGCATAAATAATATTAGTACTTTCTAAAGCCAATAAAAAAAACTTTTATCTATAAGTTATCATGAACAGACATTGTTGATTCTTCTTCAAAAAAAATTCATTAAGACCAGTTAGCAAATATTAAAACCCTTTTATTTGTATAGAATCTATATTATCTTTATTTTTTTGAAGAAAATTATCCAAGTCTTTTAAAGTTATTATCTACAAATACTTTCCAAATTCTTTGGTTTTTTGATTTCTCTTAAAAGCTTTTTTTTTAGTTAACTTTTGTCATATAATCTGTGACATTAATTATTAATAATATATAATAATTATATTTAAGTTTTGCTAAGAGCAAACTTATTTAATATTTAAAACTTACTATTTTTATTATTTGTTTTATATATTTTTTCTTATTTGATATTCAATAAGGCTTTTTGACATAATTTTTATAAAGTGTTTCATAAGTTTCTGTAATTATACTGTTTACTGATTCAAATTCTTTAATTGCAAGTATTAAATGATGGTACCAAACATGAGTTTCAGAAGTTGAAGACTATTTTTGAAATATTTGAAAAAAATTTTAATAAACACTTGGACCTAATCTATAATATATGTCTATAAAATTAATTATTAGTTATTACAATTACATAAAAAATTAGAATTTGTTTTATATCTGAAGCTAATTATATAAATTATTAGTAAATGAATCTTCTCAAGAAGCAATATACATTTAAAGAAATTTATAGTAAACTTGACATAACTGCTTATTATTAACTTCTAGCTCTTCTTTATAATTATTATATAGATTATTTAGTGCAAAGATTATTATTTTTATTATATTTCACAGTTCATTAGCTGTTATATATATTATTTCAGATATATTTCTTATTATTTTGAGGCTCTAAAATTTAGAAACCAATGTTAGTTATTGCTTAAAGATCTGCATTGCATGGCTCTTACACTGTTCATATAGAAGTTGTTTAGTAAAATCTAATATATAGTTAAAAAGGCCAAGATTTAAAATATGTATTTAATTAGGAACAATAGCTTTGTATATATTAAAGCTTCTAAAAATTTATAATTTATTATAGTAATATAGGCTCAGTACTGAAAAAAAGAATGAATTTGACAAAAAAAAATTAATTATCTTACTAATTATTAATAATTATTACATTATTTTAATACTGTTTAATTTATCTTATCGAGAATGATACTAAATAATATAATTATAATTGATAATTAGTAAGATAATTGATTTTTTGTAAATATTATTTTTTGTCAAATTTGCTCATTTTTCTAGCACCAAACCTATATAATAAATCAAAAAAAAAATAAATAAAAAACTAAAAATTATATACTTTATTTTTCAAAATGCATTTTTTTCAGAATGAATTGAATAGTAATAATCATTACTGCTATTAATCACTTTTCTGCATAGTTGGCATTGGATATATATCCACTTATTTTTAGTTCTATTGGACTGAACATAAACATTGAATATATACTTGGACATAGTTCAGGTTCAATATGTCTAATAATTTATATTTTATTTTTAAAATAATTAATTAATTGCTTTATGTAGCTATAATTCACTTGTAAATCACTTATACAACTATATACAAAACTATGTGAGTGATGCCAAGAAAAAAGACACTATAGAGTTTTAATTATATTTGTATCAAACATGATCCTTAATAAATTAGATAGATTATGTTCAGTATAAAATATAATTGAAACTTCATAGTTTTTTTTTCTTAGTAGCACTCATATAATAATTATAAATCATCATTGTATTTAATTGGCTAATTGCTTTTTGCAGCTATAAATTAATTATAAACTTGATCACAAAGCTGTATAATATTTATAGATCACTTACTTAATTTTGATAATTATAATATTTTTGTCAAAAATTTTTGTCTATATAGTATTAATCTTCTGTATCGAATAATAGTACTGCAAAGAGAAAATCTGTAATTTATTATTAAATAAAAATTACAAATTTGCTTGGCTGCACTTAAATATTTATTAATTAAATTTATCTACATATAAGATAAATTAATTTATTTGTAAAAAGATTATTAATTAAAATTTAAAATATATCAGATATGGGTTTTAATAATTCAGCTTTTATCATAAACAATTTTATTTAGAAAATAAGTAGATATTTAAAATAATTTGAATCAATTAGCTTTTTTTTAATAAATATTTACTGGTAATAATTATGCAATACTATAAATTTTTGAAATAACAGGCATCTATGCATTATTTAAAATACTTGTGCACTATTTTGTGCATGCCCATGGGAGTTATTTTGATTATATAAACTAATTTTCTGAATTGAAATATTAAGTAGTTTACAAAGAACTGGGTCTGAGATCAGACTTTTTAGAATAGTCTAAAACAAGTCAAATAAAAGTTAATAAAAGTGAATTATAAACAGTACTTTTGGAATTCTGCCTTCAAAATTATCTACATTATAATTAAACTACTGAGTTAGACCAACAGGAGGAACCATTGATGTTATATGACTGATCCTTTACCCAGTATGCAATATAAAAAAAAATTATTTTGCAATATCAGATTATTTCGCTAGTACATGTTATGATTATAATTCAAGTCATTTTATTATAATAAAAATAATATAGGATTATAATCATAATATGTACTAGTGGAATGATCTGGTATTGTAAAATAATTTTTATATATTGCATATTAGATAAAGAATTAGTCATATAACATCGATGGTTCCTCTTGTTGGTTAAACCTAGACTTTTTAAATACTAGATCTGGATTAACAGAACAGACTTTTCAATATTCCTATTTTTTAAACCTAATTTTTCTTCAAAATACATTATAGTAAGATGCACATTATTTCAGAACACATATGAGCATTATTTTGAATTCACATATGCTATTTTTAGTGATGCAATTTTCAAAATAACACTCATGCGTATTATTTTAAGAATATATAGTAAGTATTGCTTTAAAAAAATAAGATATATAGATCATTTATTTTAAAATAAATACTTATTTGAAATTAGATGTCAAATTGTAATTCTGAAACCTTCTATGAATTTAATCTTATTTAAAGTTTTGAATATCTAATTTGGCAACTAAATATTTAAAAGTAGAGTTACAAAATTAAAGAATTATTTTCAGAATAATTATGAATTAATAAATTACTTTAGCAATAATAGATTAAAAAAAAATTTATTTGCTTAACATAGCTCTTTAATGTGTACAAAGTAATCTAATACTTCAAATTATATTTGAAGTATAAATATATATATAAAAATGCCTATCATATTCTGAAAACAAATTTATAACTTTTATTAAACTTAAATTTTAAACCCTTTTTTAGAGTTAATTTTACCCTAATTTATAAAATACTAGTTTTCTCGAATCTTGTAAGAATAAAAAATAAAAATAGTAAGAAAATAAAAAAAATTATAGTGTTGTATCAGATACTTATTTGTCTTAAAAATAAACCAGCTTGCATAAATAATCGGCATCAAATTACTAATTTTTAAATAAGTTAAAGTTATGATTTTTTTTAAAAAAAAGTTTTTTTAAAAAAAAAACAAAAAAAAACTAATCAATGTTTCAATTTTAAAAAATATAATTTTATAAAGTTACTTATTACTAAAAGGCTAAAAAGTTACAAAAAATAGTGCATTTAAATCAGCTAAAAACAAACTATCTAATGGCCACTTAGCCTTTTGATCTACTGAACATTCTTGATTATTTGATAATTTATTTATTTTATTTAATTTTGAACTTGACAAATTATTTTCATCTGAATTATCATTGTCTAAAATTGATGATTATACTGTAATATTATCATTTTCATCATCAATATCAGTTTCAGTATAGTCACTTTCATCATTATCATAGTTTAGCAAAGATGTTATTGAAGTTGATTTATAAAGTTTTTTGAGTTTGTCTAATTCTTGAACTTTATGATCTTGAGCAAGAATTCTATATAATTGGCTAATAGCCAATACTTTTTGAAACTATAATGCAATTAATTATAATGCTTTTAAAATTATAATGTAATTAATATTAATAAAAGTATATTATTTACTGGCAATCTGTTATGTTGTTTAAAATAAATAAATCTTATTAAAGACCAAAGACATCCTACAGAGACTAAATTTATGCAAATTCTATAAATTTGTAATGTCACATAACCTAATTCATTAGCACATGTTGCATAATAACTCCAATATCCAATTATATCATTACCAAATTGTCTTGATAATGTGGTATTAAATGGTGATTTTTTTTGACAATAAAGCTCAAGTTCCTGTAAAATTGATTTTGGTAGTTGACCAGACTATTTAAAATAATAATATTGGATATGTTCACCTATATCAACTCATGTTAAATTTTCTAATTCTGAATTGAATTTTTCTATTTGATATAATAAGTGAAGTACAAAAGATAATATTAATAGTAGTTGTTTCCAAGAATTCCATCATTTTTCTAATTGATTCATAAGTTGCTGACTAAGATAAATATTATGATATTCTTTAATTATTTGAGCCAAATAACTGAATAAATGTAATATTTCAAAAAGTTGTACTTTGTCACATTGTAATAAATTAAGACAAGCACAATAGGATAATAATAAAAACTTTAAAGTTTTTATTTGTTGCTACCAATTATTATCATTAATAATATTATATATTTTACTTAGTAATACCAAGTCTAAACTTTGAAAATTGAAAGATTCATCATTTGACTCATAATCATGTGGTTCATATCTAGCAACCAGTATCTAAAAATATTTAATAATTATAGAGTTAATAAATATATATGTAGTAATCAATGTTGGGCAAATCAGTGATCAAGCAAAAATTTGCTAGTCAAATTGGTCTGGTCAAATTGGTCAATTGGTCAAACTGATCAAATTGGTCAAGTTATTTATATAAATATAATATATTTAGGGAACTGCTATTTGCACTATAGATTTTTGCTATTTACACCATGGTATATATATCATGACCAGAATTAGTTAAAGTTAAGGTAAGTAGTTTTTCATAACGTTAGTTACCATGATGCAAATAGCAAAAATTCATGGTGTAAATAGCAATTCCCTATATTTATTATATAATAAATTATATTCAAAAATGCTATTTGACTAATTTGACTAGTAAAAATTCTTTGACCAGACTGGTCAAATAGTCAAATTGGTCTGGTTAAATGGTCAAACTGGTCTGGTCAGCCCAACACTAATAGTAATATATACTTAAATAAGTTAATTACTTTAAGTGCTTTTTTAGTTTTCAAGAGACTTCCTAAATAATAAAAGTAGAAATTTCATCATATTATAGTTGACTTAATAAGAGTTATATATTTTAATATAAAATTTCTTGTTAATCTCATAACTTTCTAATAAAATATGTATGACTAGCATTTCTAAAATATGTTGTTATAGTAGTTGCATTATCAATAGCTTTTTTAAATGCTGATGATTCTTTAAAAATCTCATCAACACATAAATTTAGTTGATGAGCAAAGCATGGCAAAAAAATTTTGTCTTTATACTTTATTTGCAACTGCTTTCTATAACTATAATATAAAAACCAATAAGCTTATTTATTAATTTATGATTCTGCTTTTATGCTAAGCAAGTAAAAAAGCAAAATTAGTAATAATAATATTCTGATCTGTTGAGAATTAGTAAAAATAAAGTTTTACTTATTCATATATGGTCAGGATATTATTTATTAATTCTTCTGTAATTTTGATATAGTAACCAGAGAATTATATTACTAAATTTTTTAATTAAAAATATTAAAAAAAATTACCTAGCTAAAGCATAGACTGCAGCACTATCTGTTACCAATGCTATAACTTTAATTTTCTTAGATTTTAAATCACTGAACAACTCTTTAATTTTTAAAATAACATCTTTAGCATATACCTTTTACTACTAACATCTTGAGCTTTTCATATTAGAGGTTTACTGAAAGAAGTAATTAGAACACTTCCTAATAAATTCTGATTAATTATATTTGTTCAACCATCTAGTGTTATAGTGATACTGACTTTATCTTTTTTAGCAGTTTCTTTAATTTTTGATGTAAATTTAGTAATGGCCTTGTTTAAAATTTTTTCACTTAATTGCTTACAAGTAGAAAGAGTAATCTTTGGACTAAGAAACTTGAAAAGGGCTAATGAATTCAGATTTTTAACCTATCTGAAGCTTTATCTATTTGATACTATTATCTTTAAAAATAAATAACCAAATCTTGATTGTTCTGGTTTGAAAAGCTCATATATTACATAAAGATCTAATGGCCCTTTATATTTTTGCTCAACTTCTGTATTACTATTTTTGTTTGATTTATTACTGAATTTTTTATTAGTATTATATATATATTAAATATGTATTATTGATATTAATAATAATAAATTTATGGTAGAATTGGTCTCTACTATTATAAGGCTTTGGGGACAATTTTCTAAATTAAAAAATCAATAGTTGATTAAAAGTTCTGAAGCACTATAATGGTTGAGACTAACTCAATAGAAAATTTAGCATTATATATTTACATTTATATTGACACTTTTTTTACTTATTTTTTGATTTTTTACTGTCTGTGTCATCTAATATTCTTTTAGCTTCATCTTCTCCTTTTATATTTTTGAAATAAATACAATTTTTTAAATATGTTTTGACTAGTCTCTTTGTATTGATGAATTTATTTGAATATGCATAATCATAATCTTTTGCTTCTTTGCATGCATTACAAATAGCAAAATGATTATATTTATTAGACTTTTTTTTCAAAACTTCTATAAATTCCATCAAATGATGTTATATAAATTTGTTTTTTCATATTATTAATTATAATATTTAATGAACTTGAAAAAGCATTTTGCTTAACACATTTGTATTATATATAAATTAATTGTTTGATGATATAAATCAGTTTAAATGTTCAATAAATAATTAATGTAATTATAAAAAGATATTTATTATTTTTTTAAGAACTGTGATTATTAATTAAAATTATTCTTATTCTGTTATAATTATAAAATAACAAGTTAAAAGTAATTTCAATTATTTTTAAGCCTACAGTATTAATATTAATGTTAGTATTAGTCTTTTTTATTAAGCAAAAAAAAAATTTTTGTAATAATAAGGTTTTTGTTTCTTATTCAAATTAACATCTATAATTAAGTTTAATTAGCTTTCTAATAAAGTTAATGCTATTATTTTTTATAAGTTATTTGCATTGTATTCTTTGGATAAAATAAATAAAGACTAAATTTTTGCTAACTCTTATTAAATTAGTATAGTTACTATATTGGTATATAAATATTCTGATTATAAAATAGCAGAAAACAATCTGGCAAGTTTGAATAGTACTATTTTGCTTATGTTTGGTATTGTTATGAGTAAAATAGAGTGTAATTAAGAAATTGTAGACTGATGTAGTACTATTAGTGATTGTGTTCTTGTATTCCAATTGATGCATGCATTTGTAATCAAACCAAAATTAAATAAAGCATGCATAATGGTCTTAAACAACCTAACAATCAGATATAACCAAATTGAATATAAATTAAAGTAGTGACAATGAGGTTTTAGAATGGCAGAAGTAAAATAACAAGTTAAAAAGTTTTGTGTTGAGAAAGAAGAAAAAAAGTATTGTTAGCAATATAACAATATCTAAAAATAGACAAATAGAAAAGAAACCTACTAGTAATAATTTAAGAACAATTGCTAGTAGAAAAAATAGTAGAAGCAAAACTGATAGAATTCCAAAATAGAATAATAAGTTAGTAAAATAGAAAATGTATAAAAGCAGTAATAATATAATTAATAAAACTTATCTTTAGATAGCCCAATTAGGCCTAATATCATAATGAAGAACTTGTCAAATCATATTCTAAACCTCTAGTAGTAAGTGGTATCTATTTTTTCCTAAAGTATTGTCATTAGAATAGTATATACTGGTTTAACTTCCAAATAAATGTAAAAATATGCATATATAAGTAAATATATTTTATTTGCTAGTCAATTTAGAATTAATATATATTATTTGTGAATCAATTTAATATATTATTTTGAAATCAAATATTTTTATTACATAGATGATTATTTATTGTTGAAGATGATGCTGAAACAAGATGATGCTGAAACATTAAGTTAAGGTTTAGAGCTAGTATTTATAATAAAAAAGTATAGATGAATTTTAGTAAGTTTATATTTCTAAATTGAGATTCTATGTTTCAGCATTATCTTGTTTCAGCATTATTCCTAACATTATTTATAGCACAAAAATTTGATCAGTATGTTCTAATAACAATAATATATGCCTCATAATTGGAATGTTAATTGGTCTTTTGAAATTGAGTTCTAACTGATCCTTTTAAATCCTTTTAAGAATCGGTTCTTAAATTACATAAAAATACAAATCATTTTATAAAACTTAAATTCTGAATTGAATATACTGTTATAGGTGAAAGCCTTCTTAATTTTCACACTATAACGACGACACAGCACAGGAAATCCCTTACGGGTATATGCGGTGTCCAAGAGGGAAGTATAGTTCCTGTTAGACGTTGTCAAGAAACTATACCCTTCTCTGAGGCAGT